CCTTTATGCATGTTTCATTAAAAACGACAGAACAAAATTTTACAGTTGCTTTTGTTTAACTTTTCTTGTGTTTTTTGACAAGAGCTTTCTTTTCTGGACAAAGCCTTTGTCCAGAAAAGAAAGCTCTTGTCAGAACACAAGAAAAATTAAATAAAAAGCTTAACCGTAGTAATTGTCTGACGTTTTTAATGAAATAAATATATATATATATATATATATATATATATATATATATATATATTCTTAATATCGGTTTGAAATAATACACAAAGGGTTGATAAATCATAAAAAAACGACATCACCGATATTCAGAGAACTTAGAACGATTACTTGGTTACTTATTTTAAAGCATTATTTTATTTATTTATTATTGTCACATGACGCAAACAATAGTTAGTGCATTATTCAAACAAATTAACCCTAAATAATAAACTGCTTTTATTTAGCCCCCATAGAGAAAGCTTTCTGCCTGACATCAGCATGGCTGACGCTGGACGCTTGGAAAGCAATACACTGCGCCTTCTTGGCCTCACGTATTCAACTGGCTTGAATATGAGTCACTACATCGAATCAAACGCAGACTGGCTTCGAGATCTCATAAATTGCCAGTTGAGCCGTAATGTAGCCGTAAGTGCGATGCTAACAATTACATTTCTCGCACTTCTCATTTGTGGAACTCCCTTCCGACTCCATGCATTCCAACCAACTTTAATCTGCGAACATTTAAATGCAATATCAATCGCTATCTACTATCCTCCTAGTTAATCTTTCCTCGCTCCACTGATTATTAATGTTTCTGTTTCTAACTCTTCTACACCCTGTAACCCCTTGCGTCTTAGTGGCTTTATTACCTTGCATGGGGTGTGATACCGATTAAAGAAATAGTCATCTGTCACTTATATTTTTATCAATTAAGTTTGTTTTTTCATTTTACAAAAGTAGCGAAATAGTCGTTCTAAGTAATCCGTTAATCGAAAAAGCGCTGTGTAATTTGTTGTGAAAAACAAATCGACGAATCGTACAAGCGAAGTGGCGTATTACTAAAGTTTGAAAAGGCGGGGTTTATCTAAATATAATCTGTTTAATCAAAAAATGATATTTTGAGCCATTTCTGATTTTGTTTTTTTTCCTTCTCACAGGTAATGTTTTAGAACCAAGCGAACAATGGAGCCACATACCTCTTCCTCCAGTTCAGTATGATACATATACCCAAGAACCGCACCGAACTCCCGGTATGTCTTTCTCAAAAATATCAGCGTTTTTTGCCCTGTTTAAGTTAGGGCTCGTCAAACGAGTTCCAGTTGGTCGATGGCAGTCAAGGGGTTGAATGGGGGTCGGTGTGGTTAGTGTACATGTATGCTGTATTCTTCGGTGCAGATGAAAAGAAAGATAGAGCTTGACGATCAACAGGTTCTGGGTGGTAGCACCTGTTAGGGTCCAAGCTATGGGCAAATAGTGACCCCTCCCCACAAATACTATGAAAATATTAAAAAACATTTATAGTAAAAAATGACAGAAATACATTTTTATATAAAAAAAATCACTTCATAAGACAGACGACTGATATCTTCATCTGTCGAAATAGACTATTCCCCATATGAGGTGATTTGGGATTTTATTGTTTATTTGCTCTGTAATAATAAATGCATTGAGCTCTTTTTGTGGGTCAGTTTTAATATTTTATATTACGAGGATCCACTTGGATTATATACCAACAGATTTGTTACCTTTTATATATATATATATATATATATATATATATATATATATATATATATATATATATATATATATAAAACCCCGTAATTCCCGCATAATATAGGGACGCGCGAGTATTGCGTTAACCAGATACTTTTATTAAAATTTCAATTATTTAACACTCAGTCTCTACTCAGTACCTAAAGTAAAGTGTGTGTGTGTGTGTGTGTGTGTGTGTGTGTAGATTTAATAGGCCGATTTTGGTTGATACCAATGTTGTCAGTAAAATTGATATTTATTATATATTAACCTTTTGACTGAATTGAAGCACGAAGTGATAGATTTTAATGTCGGAATTTTCGAACACGCCTGTGTTCTTTTTCGGCGATACAAAGAATCAACAAAGAAGTGGGACTTACTCTTCCGAGGAATGTTGTCGTTGGATAGAAGTCTCCCTGTGGAAATTATACTCTCTGAGTAAAATAAATCCCTATTTGATCCCTCAATGTGTGAATCTATTTTGAAACTAAATTTCAACTCCGATCTGCGTCTTTAAATGAAGACGCTAAAAGTAAGCATCTGATGTCATCGATGTTATGAAATGGTTGGTTGAAGTGTTCAGCGACAGGTTAAAAAATGTTGTTGTTGTCCCTGGTGTTTTTTTTATGGTTATTGAATTGAAGATGGAATTCCGTTCTAGTCTCTCCACTATAATTTCCTTTTTTCTATTTGTGGCAAACATATAAGATTTGATCTGTTACAATTCAGAGCCGGTGGTTTGACTACTACGTGAGTGCCAGGGGGTGTGTGACATTGCTATCAGTGATGATATGTCTACACACCTGGCGTCAGGGTTTATTGCGGTTATTGGGCAAGTAGCCGAGTGGTTAAAACGTTCGTCTTCTCACCATGAAACCCAGGTTCGAATCTCACCATGGTCGATCTGTCAGGAAGGAGACTTCCTGATGTTATCGGGATTGGATCCCAGCGTGTGGCACTTTTGGAAAGTGCCTGAAAACCGTACCACAAGTCATCGTGTCCGTGGGCTTGAGCGTGCTGGTTGTTCAAATTGCTGATCACGTTAGATAACACGCTCTTTCCAAGAAACTATAACTATGGTCTGCTCAGCATAGTTGCAGTATAAACCACAGGTGGGCTCTGCGGGTGTTGACTAAACACAAATGCGCCTGAGCAAGCGTCTGCCGCCCTAGTAGACGGGTAACCTCGAATACGAATGGCTAGCTATACATATACATACATTCCCCTGTTGAGGTAGTGAATCATGTATGCCGGACGATTTTAAAAATGTGTGTAGATTAGGGGCTAACACCTAGCGTGAAGAGGGCTACCGTGGAATATGTTTTCTAGTTTGGTCAAGTTTTATGTTGAAGGATATATAATAACAACGCGTCTGAAATGTGTTTTTTTATTCGGTCAGCCATTTAAGTTATTTATTCATTCGACAGAGTTCATGGATATCAGCGAAATGAAAAAGGAATTACCAGACGATATCGCTTTTAGCAACACTTGCGAGAAGCCAATGAGAAGAAAACCTGGCCGCAAAAAAGGACAACGTAAGTGTTAAATTTGCGATTCTTTTCCACTAACTTCTATCATTTATATTATCTATGTGCCGTGTCCCTTCAGGACGTGGAAAATCAAGGCTCTCCACAACTTCCAATCATTTGTTTACTTATTCTCCCTCCCAGCCTCCGTTCTGCCATCCATTCACACAAAATTGTTATGTAGATTACGCGTTGCTCCCCTTTGACCGTTCAGGATGTGGGCGATCATAGCTCTCCCCAACTTCCTATCCTTTGTAGCGCTAAGCATTGATTGTCTCCTTACTCTCCCTCCCAGTCCCCGTTCTGCCATCCATTTACACAAAATTGTTATGTAGATTACGCGTTGCTCCCCTTTGACCGTTCAGGATGTGGGCGATCATAGCTCTCCCAACTTCCTATCCTTTGTAGCGCTAAGCATTGATTGTCTCCTTACTCTCCCTCCCAGTCTCCGTTCTGCCATCCATTTACACAAAATTGTTATGTAGATTACGCGTTGCTCCCCTTTGACCGTTCAGGATGTGGGCGATCATAGCTCTCCACAACTTCCTGTCCTTTGTAGCGCTAAGCATTGATTGTCTCCTTACTCTCCCTCCCAGTCTCCGTTCTGCCATCCATTTACACAAAATTGTTATGTAGATTACGCGTTGCTCCCCTTTGACCGTTCAGGATGTGGGCGATCATAGCTCTTCCCAACTTCCTATCCTTTGTAGTGCTAAGCATTGATCGTCTCCTTACTCTCCCTCCCAGTCTCCGTTCTGCCATCTATTTACACAAAATTGTTATGTAGATTACGCGTTGTTTCCATTTGACCGTTCAGGATGAGGGCGATCATAGCTCTCTACAACTTCCTATCCTTTTTAGGGCATCAAACTAACTTCTAATGGTCAAACAGTCTAGCTCGTTCCCAATTATGCCATCCCAAGTTACCAATTTATGTGTACCAAGTAAAGCTTGTTTCTGGCACAAAGCTATAGATATGGGTCACCCAGTTAGGATTGGACTAACTTCTAATTAGTAATGGTCAAACAGATTACCTCGTTAACCATTACGCCATCCCGAGACGCCTAATTGTTATTTATTAAGTGAAGCATTGTTTTGACACAAAGCCACAACTATGGAACCACCCAGCCGCCCAAAATTTCTTTCTAAAAGATGTTAAAGTACGTAATTATCTATGTATTACTTGATGCCGAGCTTTGAAGCCGCCATCCTTAAGCATGGCCTCAGGTCGTCAGGATATGTCATCCGAATAGCCCCTTGAAGACTCCCGCGGGCCATCCTTTACAGCGAGCTCGTCAGCGGCAAACGACATTGCGGAGCCCCAAAATGCAGATTCAAAGACCAACTGAAGTCTTCCCTCCTTCAAGCGGTAATCAGCCCTAACACCTGGGAAACAGAAGCCGTCGACCGTTCATCCTGGCGAAGAGCAATTCATTTCCGTCGTTCCAATTTCGAGGAGAGGAGAAAGAATGAAGAGGAAGTAAAACGAAGGCAATCAATGCCCGGCAGCCCCAGTCAAGATCATCACCCGCCCCACCATGCCATCACCGCCCGGGACTGTCCCATTCCCGACTTGGCCTCCAGAGCTATGTCAGGTTCAAGACGAACCAAACTCGGACAAGTGTGGTCTCGTCGAGGCATTAAGGATAAAAGCTCAACAGAATAGTTTCCATGAAAATATTTGTAGAAAGGACAGAAAAAAGCCACGTCACGGCGGACAGAAAGTAACTGAAGCCGAGATGCCAGGTCAGGATTGATTACATTACAGACCCTTCTTTGAATATTGTCAATAATCTTGAGATATACAGCAGGAGCATGAAACCGGCGCACCAAAAAACGAAGTCCTCAGAAATGCCGAGCAATGATGTATTGCCTCTGGTGGTCAGGACATGTCACCTGAATAGCCCCATTCAAGACTCCCGCATGTCATTCTTTACAGCGATAATGGCAAACGACATTGCGGAGCCCCAAAATGCAAATTCAAAGACCAACTGAAGTCTTCCCTTCGTTCAAGACGGAATCAGCCGTAAGACCTGGGAATCAGAAGCCGCCAGCCGTTCACCCTAGCGAAGAGCAATTTATATCGGTCCTTACTCTTTTGGGGAGAAGGGGAAGTCTCAAGAGGCCGTAAAATGGAGGAAAGACATGGTTCAGCGGCTCTAGCCAAGACCATGCGATCAATGACCGAGACTGTTCTGTTCCCGATTTGGCGTTCTGAGCCATGTCGGCTTCAACCATCGTGGAGGCACCGGATGAACCAAAATCGGACACATGTGATGCTGACGACGGAAATTTGATGGGACTTTTTTCCTTTTGCTTATCGTTCCTTCAGTTCTCTTCTACAATAACTCGTTCCTAAGCCTCCTCCATGATTCCGTATCTGCTACCTCTTGGGTTTCTTGCACAAATCCATCCAACTCTAAATCCTGGGCCTTCTTACTCCTGTTCGAAGAATCCCACCCTTATTGACTATATCTTCAGGGATGTAGCCATACTCAACACGCTAGGACAACTGTGGGATGGTGAGGTTAATTAACCCGTAGTTGGAGGAGTTCCACTAATTCTATTCGGACGGTTTTCAGCAGTTTCTCCGAAAATTGGAAAGAATTTAGACATGCCTTTCCATAAGAAAAACTGAAGATTTATAAAAAATATGCTACGATTATTTTTTTTATTTTTATTTGATTTCCTTTGATTTCTGATGTATACTCATTTCTTTCCGGGTGCCGACCAGAGATCTAAGGTCAGAAATGGCATCATGACATTTTACACTGAGCAATAAAAAAAAAACCTACAAAAAAACATATTTTACACCGATTAAACCCTTCATACGGTGCGAATTGTACTTTAGAAAATTAAAAAAAACAAAAAAACTGACCCAGTCGAAATGAAAAGGTCAGGCAGCCAAAACAAATCGTAAAGGTTGGGAATCTCAATTTGGATCATCGTTGATTGTCTTGTAATGATAAAAGAAATCCTGTTCTGGTAATGAAACGCGCCAAAACGAATAAAACGCCGGCCGCTTGGAGGCATGAAACTGAAACGTGTTTAATACGATGATGATCTTGTTCATCTGGGGATTTTCCGTTAATTGATTAGTTACTAAGATGGATTAATTAAACAGCTTAGGATTAATTTTATAGAACTCTCCTGACCTTCTATTTATTCCCTAAATTCCCTAAAATTACTAAATTCCCGGCCCGGGGGAATGAACAGAATGGCCTTGTAATAATGCGTTCTCGCCCAAAAACTGTAACTAAGATCCGTTTAGCATATTACGGAATAAACCAAAGTTGGCCCCTGTGTGTGTTGAACAAACAGAAATGTGCCTGAACAGGTGTCTGATGAAGGGATTTGTCTAGCCGCCCTAGTGGACAGGCATACTCCGATACGAGCGGTCAAGTAAAGTTTTCCAGTCAAGTTTGATCTGCAAAAGTTTATATGCAATGTCAATCGTTATCTTCTGTCTCTCAATCTCTGTTCATTTTTTGTTTTCGTTCCTTAATAATGTTTTTCTTACATTACTTTCTTCTCAGTAATACCCAGTATATTAGTGGGTTGTTGCTTCAATAGATAGATAGAAAAATAGATATGAACAGGCTGAAATGAACATAGATAGATAGATAGATAGATAGATAGATAGATAGATAGATAGATAGGAACAGACTGTCATGAAGACAGATAGATAGATAGATAGATAGATAGATAGATAGATATGAACAGACTGTAAGATAGATAGATAGATATATAGATAGAGATGATGTAGATGCTGAAATGAAGATAGATAGACAGATAAGTACATATGAACAGACTGTCATGAAGATAGATAGATAGATAGATAGATAGATAGATAGATAGATAGATAGCAACAGACGGAAATAGATAGATAGATAGATAGATAGCAACAGACGGAAATAGATAGATAGATAGATAGATAGATAGATAGATAGATAGATAGATAGATAGATAGATATGAACAGGTTGAAATGAAGATAGGGGTGAAATAATTAAAAACAAAAATTCTACCTTGTCAAAATTTAGTTGCAAGTTAAAAAAAATATATGAGCCTTTATATTCAGAGGCATCGTAAAATGAATATAATCTTGGCTTCTAAAATATTTTTCTCTATTTTTATTTGTTTTTCTTTAAAATTGTTATAGAATTTTATAAGCCCAGCAAAGTTCCTTATCGATCTTATTTCCAGTTATTGTCACCTGCTATTTCACATTACTACAAATTAATAATAATAGAAACATTAAAAAACTATTAAAAGGTTTCTCTCACCTACAGCGTTCATGATAAGTATTATTGTCGTCTGACATTTCCCATTAGTGCAAATTAGTCAATAGAGATGTAAAAAAAAAAAAAAAATTATGAAATTATCTAAATAAGTCAAGATAATCTGTTTAATTAGTCTTTCTTAAAACTATCGAATTATTTAAACAAATGAAAAAATATTTTGTTGAATTAATTTTTATGATTGTTTTTAATATGAATATTAGAAAATTATTGAAATGTTTTTGTCATGGTCAACTCTGTATGTAGCTATGTCCAGAGTAGGAAATTCAGGTGGAATTAGCATAATTGCAAAAAAGAACTTAAGAAAATAGACGTTTTGATGAAAATGTTGTTTATACAAACACTTTAGAGAGGTCATAGAAGGTCTATGCCAACTTATGTGTTTTCTGGCCATGGGTTTTTGGCTAGTTAAAAATTATTTCATTCTTTACTTTAAAATTTTGTTTCTCCATTATGAACTTTTATGGTTTTTTTTTTTTTTTCTTTGTGGACCCAGCAGTTTCAAACGTCTATCATCTCTGGGAGTTCATTCGCGACCTGTTAAAGGATCCCGATCACAAGAACCTGATCACGTGGGAAGACAGGGACAAAGGTATCTTCCGAATGATAAAGTCCGGAGAGGTGGCCAAGCTTTGGGGAGAAAAGAAGAAAAACAAACGCTTGATGAACTATGAAAAAATGAGCCGCTCTCTCAGGTAAGAAAATAAAATATTTTATCTGTTGTTGAGTAATTGGCCATGGTTAACTAAATGTAATTGGCATAGTAAAAATCATACAATTTTATTTACTTTGTGATTTAAGGTTGCATGTGATAAAAGGGAGAAGTCACTTCGTATTATAACAAGCAATGTGCCACGGAAAGAAGTAGCGCGTCTTAGCCCTCCAACGGTCGGTAACGAAAGAGAATGAAGTGAGTTCAGCGTTTTTGGCGCGAAGTCCGTTTTTCAGCAGGAAAAGTTTCTGTTGCATTCTGGGAGAACTTTTATTATTTGGGTTTCATTTATAATTTCTCGAAAATAATACGATTTTTTACTGTAAATTACAGGTGATAGTAGGGGTGCGTATTATAAATAGGTTTAAACAAAAATATTTTTTTCGTTATTTATTTATAATAATAAATATGTACTTGTTCTAAAATGAGAAAGATTTTATCCTAATTTTCATTTTAAATCCAACAATAATAATTGTAACATTTTTTTTGTCAATAAATTTATGTTTATCAATAACCACATTTTTTTTCATTTGGCGAAAAAAAAAAAAATCTATAAAAAGGCCAATTTCGAAGAAAAGAGTTAACAATTTATTGAAATTTTAATTTTCATCATCGTCATCACCAATTTCTATTATAGAATCAATATCTAAATTGTCATTAAACAAATTATCATTCATAATATTATCTTCGTCTTGTTCAAAATTATCTTCAGCCTCTTCATTCTCTTGCCAAAGGATGTCATCTTCAGAACCATCAATGGCTGTCGTGAGACAATACTTCTTGAAACCTCTCTTAATAACATCCTTACTTATGGAATTCCATTTTGGCGGTAAAATAAAAATGTTATATTTATCGGGAAAAACTCATAGCAATTTTCGACATTATTTTAGCTGCTTAGTTTCGATTTTATTCTTAATGTCAAGGTCGACAAAATGCTTTAGTAATTTTTTTATGACAATATTTATAGCTGTGTATTATACAGAGGGATAGATATATTTCTTAATTTTTGGATCATTTATTGGGGTGCGTATTATTTATGGTTGCATATTATTTTCAAGAAATTACGGTAATTTCTTTTAAAGAAAGTTTTAATGTTATTTATTTTATTTTATTTTATTTATGCTATTCATTATTATTATTATTATTAATAATAATAATAATAATAATAATCCACAAACAAAAAAGTGCCTCCTTATTGATATGGCAGTCCCTGCAGACTGCAATGTATCTTTGAAGATATTCAAAAAGCTATCAAAATACAAGGACCTTGAAATCGAAAACTCAAAAATGTGGCACATGGGAACATCAACAATCCCTGTTGTAGTTGGAGCCGTAGGATTGGTTGGGAAAATTCAAGTAGACTAATTGAAGGGATTCCTGGAAGCCCATGCCTCAAAGAAATACAAAAAATTGTTCTGACAAGTACAGCCCACACTTTACGAAGGGCTTTATGTAAAATATGTGTGGGTTTTTTTTTTGTCTTCATCAGTGGAAAGTGTCATGATACCATTTCTAACCTTAGGTCTCTGAGCAGGACCCAGAAAGAAATGTGTACACGCCAGAAATCAAAGGAAATAAAAACAATAATAATAATGTCATTACGGTGTCAATGGAAAAACCGTTCTTTGTGTTATTGCGGGGCCATTGATCCATGTTTGCCAAAAATTCATTCCAAACAGACTTGAACCACCATCGCTTCACCGGAAGCCATTCATCTTGAAACATCACACAATGACTGTCCCAATGCTTTATCTTTTAACATCTTATGTTGACACCCCGATCTGATGCTCCTTAAATTGCTGTCAACTATGACTTTCCTTTCATTCCAGATATTCACGCAAGGAAGGCTACTTCATGGAAATACCTCGTGATGGCTCCTATCCCAAAAAACTCTGCTTCCGGTTTGGACCGAAATCCTACGGCTGGAAATAAATGCCGCGTATGTGGAGTGCTTCCCACGTCCGATGCAGACTAACAGACACGCCGTCACACAAAATCACTCAATCGCCCTACCTACCGCGAACATGCCGTATATACTCGTGTATAAGTCGACTTCATGTATAGTGCGAACCATTGTGTTTTTTTGTTTTTTTTTTTGTGAAAAACTTGATTTTTTTTCATATAACTCTTGTATAATGCCATCCCAGGGTTCTGAGCAATACTAGTAAGCCTACCGTAGTCAAATATTGTGGTACTGGGCATCATCTTAGACATTTCTTACAGCAAATAAATGGTCATCATTCCTTTTTTTTTTTTTTTGCAATAAGATACCCCAGAATGGTGAGAAAAACCATTTACCGTAAAATATCTGATACAAAGATTTAGATATCGTATTTTTGTTTACGTTCATGCCTGACTACAGTAACTCCATTAACCTGGGCCTGCCTCCTACGTAGACTAAGTTTCTTCCCTTTTGTCGTTACATGAAGAGCAAAACCTCATCTCCTTTTTATATGCTTTTGTAATGCTCAAAATCTGTTGGTTCCTATTCATAATATTACTGTGGACCATAATTAAATCAAATGGAATCAAAATTCATTTCGTTTTCTAACCTGTGCAATCATCATTTACCGTATGTCACGGTGCATCTTGTCAAAATATTTTAAGAATATGGTAACGAAGAATTATAAGATAAAATAATACCAGTAAATTGTGAAGAATAAGTACAGATAAACAGAGGAAGACAGAATACAGAAGATAACGGAAATATATATATATATATATATATATATATATATATATATATATATATATATATATATTGTCATCCATCCAGACAGACTGTTTCGCTGTATCACAGCTCATCAGTGAGCTAGACGTCCGGTTATATATCTGACAAAAGGGGTACCATTCGAAATGGAACACCTCGGATATTGCAAATGAAGATCAACGCAAAATTGAGAACAGAAAAAGCATTGTTAATTCTTCATTTTTATAAGGTATTTGTAAGAGTCACGCATATTGAATGAGGTCCTACTGTTCATATCGCAATAGAAAGAAAGAATTTAAGTTACGGAAGGCAGGCTGTACTGTTAAGGTTAATCAAAAGTACCAGGAGAATGTAAGGCCTACCAGGTAGTTTATGATCACCGAAAATGCACGAATTTTATCCTCTCCGGGAAAAATTACCTGTATATATACTGCAGCCGGTCACATAAAATGCATTATTTTTTAACTACTTCACACACAAAAAAAAACTACCTGTGTATACTGTGACCACCTATTTTTAAAAAAAAAAATTATCATAAAAACTTGCCCTATACTCGAGTATATACGGTACTACGTTTGGCGACAGATTCGTTAATCAGTCGCTTGTCCAACTCATTTAAATTTGTGGAAAAATTATTGAACGTCGATTTGTCAAACAGTACTGGTGTCTATAATACCTGAAATTTAACGCAGAATATTATTATTATTATCTTTATTATTATTATTATTATTGTTATTGTTGTTGTTGTTGTTATTATTATTATTATTATTATTATTATTATTATTATCCGATAGGAAATAAAGAAGTTTTTGGTAAAATTTGAACTCGTTTCCCGTATCTTAAAGCCTTACCCAACGATCGAAAAATAACGGTCGTTAAAGAGAAGTGTAAATGAAATGAAATTCGATTCAAGTCAGGAATTAAGAATAATTGAAAATGGTTCAGGTAAATAATTCAAATTCGATTGACATTTTTTTTTTTAATAGAAATTACGAAAAACTTATTTTTTGGGCAAAGCTTCGCCCAGTCTGGCACAAAGAAACGAATATAGGGCACTCGTTTTAGTTCGAACTCATTACAGTATTACTGGTCTACGATAATAGCCCACTAACCGCCGCTTCAGGGTAAGACAGTGTAATATAGATAATTACAAAACTTAGGTTAGTCTGGCACAAGGTCGTAATTATAGGGTACTAAATGGGGACCGAACTCACTAATTGTGTGACAGACAAACATGCTTCATGGCTATAAATTTATAATCATTTTTTGATGACGCCTGTCAATCGGATTCTCACCCAACTCATCTCTCTCTCTCTCTCTCTATATATATATATATATATATATATATATATATATATATATATATATATATATATATATATATATATATATATATAGTATTGGGGCAGCAGATGATTATTTAAACATATATTGTTAAATATAACAGACAATGACTGTCTGTTATGTCTGATAATGAGTCTTTCTAAAGTTTGTATATTTGCTTTTGTGAAAAAAGACAAAAAAAAAAAACGAAGCTTACATCAAGGACCCGCTTAATAAAAAAAATATCCAAATTTTGGACAATTTATGTCTTTATTTCCATCCGAAATTAAAGCAAATATACGAACTTTAGAAATGCTCATGATTAAACATAATAGACATTCATTGTCTGTTATATTTAACAATATATTTATATATATATATATATATATATATATATATAAGACATTTTATGTTTATACGTTGTTTTATTGATACAAATATTTAAGTAAATGTTCTATTTATAATAAACACTAAACAGTATTAAACAACATTTACTGGTCTGAATGTCCGAGAAATTTGAAAAATTTAAAAATTTCTCGGACATTCAGGCCAGTAAATGTTGTTTAATAATGTTTATTATAAACAGCCTTTACTTAAATATTTGTATCTATAAAACAACGTATAAACATAAAATGTCTTAAAATAATTGTTGACTTTGTCCATTTCATAATATATATATATATATATATATATATATATATATATATATATATATGAGGTTGTCTTACACCTTCCTCAAATATTGAGAACACCTGCCAAAAAATTTGATAATTAAGGATAGAAATGAATCAAATATGGCCAATTACTTTAATCTGGAGAAAACGATACGAAACGTACCCTTGAGGTCTTGGTAACTTATTACGAGACGTTTGTAGACAGAACCAGTTTTTTGTGTCGTCTCGCATTTTCTCTTCTCATTCTGAACCCTATCGACAAAATACAATACTTAGGAATGGAAAAGTATTCAATAGGGCCAATTTTTTTTCATCTGTAGACATTTTAATATGTTACTTATTTTAAAAACGAAAAAGAAGAGTATTGAATTGGTGATTTGTGGAACCGACTGCCATGTTGATTCTTTCTTTATCACTACAATCTTCTTAACCTGTTCAAGTTTAGGGTTAACCCTTATCTTCCACACATATCCTCATAAACTGTGCTTCTTGCCTCTTACTTTGTGGAACCGACTCCCAAGAGGATGCTTCCCCGATCACTACAATCTTAACCTGTTCAAGTCTAGGGTTAACCGTTATCTTCTACACATATCCACGTGAACTATGCCTCTTACTCTGTAACGCTTTGCCTCCTGTCGTTCCCCGGTCCTTATACAGGTTGAATATCTTTGTAAAAAAAAAAAAAAAAAAAGAAAAAAGAAAAAAAGCATAGCAACTCGGATTGTGAAATCGGAGAGCCGAGTTCGAATTCCAGTCAAATCCGTTATATTGTTAATACCCTTGGGAAATGTATGAATCCGCTTCTTCTAGCTATGGGTAAGTAGCAGAACTGACCGGGTTCTATAGCTTTGGATGACAACTGGTCTACCGCAGAAAGAAATGACAATCTACTGCGGGGAAAAAAAAAATCTGCCTCGTTAGTCATGTATCGAAAGATCTATGATCACCAAAGCGTGTATCACGCATGGCCCATAACTGACTGACTGGAAACGATAATATTTTAAATCAAGGGGAAATAATCATGTTTATTCTCATAGTTACCGTCCTTGTTTTTTTTAAAAAAAATCCTCTTAAAGAGCAAATATGGAAGCAGAGAATTTAAATTACTTTGAAAACATTATTTGGTCAAAGAGGAGATTTTAGACATATTTGGCGAAGAAAGGAAGATGAAGAGCGCTAGGCACAGTAAAAAAATAAAATAAAATAAAATAAAAATAAGAAATAAAAATAGGGCAAATATATTTACATCACATCAGTACCACCCAGTATATTAGTGGTTTGTTTCTGTCAATTCACTCCAAAATAAAAAGAATGTATATTTACTAAAATTCACACCAAATTTTCCCAGAGCAAGGCCCTTCCATTACACTCTGGTTTGGTTGATCTTTGCAACAGTTCCAAATATGGACGACTCGGGTGCGTTATTTCTAAGTGTGGGGCTACATTCGCGCTCACCCCAATAAACAAGTCCAAAACAGTTTTTTTTTTAATTGTAATAAAATCCTTGTCAGTAGCTCGAATATAATCCGCATTGACGAGATGTGAATAACTCACGGATTTTTTGGTAATTTTTCATTCTGAGGGTTGAAGTTGTTGCGAGGCAAGTTAAACAAACTTCGATTTAAAATTTATAATTTCAAAAGAGTGCCAAATATTTAATAGAAATATAAGCAAACTGATTTAAAATTTATAATTCCTTGGGGTAAATTAATGTTAGCGATAAGTAATTTTACATTATTAGGGGTGAATTAACATTAAAAACATAGGGCAAGTATATTTGCATCACATTTGGGAAAAAGGCGTTATTAAGACTATGGAACAAGAAAAGTTTTGAATAATGAAGAATATAAAATGGATGAGATATCCTGGCGTATTTCAGAAAGGCTAATGAACAAAATAAAATATTCTTGTAAGATATAAAACTTTTTTTTTCTTTTTTCTTAGAACTAAAATTAACATTGTCTACAACACAGACTTAAAAAAAAAGAAAGAAAAGATCCATTGCTTCTTGACAAATCGGCGTTTAATAGTGATGTTTGAACATAACCTCAATTTGGTCAGCCATATTTGTTAGAAGGACGACTTGAAAAATGAAGAGTTTATTTTATTTTATATTTTTATATCCACTTTTGCTCAAGTTTTAGTCAAGTTCCACGAACAAAGAAATTTTGGTTTTGTTATCATCGGCAGTATCCCGGGAACTCAGGATTTACTTAATCTTAAGGTATATAACGCTTAATATTACTTTGAAATTAAAGAGCTAACTTTCTGCTCGAAATACACGTTTTTTTTACTTTGTTAGGTTAACTAAACCTCTCGTAGAAAAAAAAATACGAAAAAAATATGTTTTGGAATAATTTTTGTAGACGAGCATTCATTAGACTTTCTACCCAAGAAATTTTTCTAATCGAAAGATTTAAAAGCAATGTTAGTATAATTTATGGTGTTCCGAATTCAGGGAGAGATGATGCGTCCCTTCAAAGGTCCTTGAGTTCGAAACGTCGTAAATTATACTAACGCTGCTGAACAAGTCAAATGCATGTGAAGCCTGCTTAACTAATGAGAATCAAAAATTGCGGAGATAGAAATACCAGGATTTCTTTCTTCTTTTTTTTCCCTGATGAAGCTTTAATAAAAGTTGGAATACGTTAGAATTTATAAACGTTTCCGATTTTGTTTTTGTTTTTTTTGTTTTTTTAGCCTATCATCCTGTCGAATTCCGATCTATATTTGATCTGTATTTGATCTCAGTTATTTCCGACAAATGTGTATTGAGGAGAAGGCTAATGAATGCTAATCTATAAATTTTTTTTTCCATTTTTTTTACGAGTGAGCCAAACCTCGATATTATCCGACAAAGAATTTTTTAAAACTTATTCTTTCTGATCAATAATAACATGGAAACCTTTAATAAGTCTTGTTTCCCAATCTTTAAGAATATAATATACTTTATATTATTTTGAGATTAATAGGTTACCTTTCTTAGTGATATATTCTTTATCGACATTCTATTAAAAAATCATCTTTTTCTTTTTAAGTACAGTATTTCTTTTTCTTAAAGGGAAATTTATGACCATTAATACCTGATATCTTTAGTAAGATTAATAAGCCTGGTTCCTAGTGATATGTCTTCCGGGTTTCGCCTTTCTATTCCATGAAACCCCTGGTTATGTTTTGACAAGAGATACAAAATAGATCAAGGCAATTTCTGTCCTTATCCATCATGTAAGTGTGTGTAGTTTTTTTCTTTTTCTTTTTTTATAAAAAAAGAAGTAAAAAAAAAAAGGACTAATTTCACATTTTGTGTCTGTGTGGAGACACGTAAATGAACCTGTTTTTCACAGTACTTCCCTCATCTCTAAAAAAAATATCGTCATCGTAAAAATCTATCTTTTTTTTTTTTATTTTATTTTTTTTATTTCTGCAACTATCTTATTATCAGAAGTTGGAAAGCACCCCGGGTTGCATCTGTTCCACGGAGGGTCTTTTTTTTTTCTCTTCGTGTCTTTTTTTTTTCTCTTCGCGTCTTTTTTTCTCTTCGTGTCTTTTTTTTTTTTCTTCGTGTCTTTTTTTTCTCTTCGTGTCTTTTTTTTCTCTTCGTGTCTTTTTTTTTTTTCTTCGTCTCTTTTTTTTTTTCTCTTCGTCTCTTTTTTTTCTCTTCGTGTCTTTTTTTCTCTTCGTCTCTTTTTTTTTTCTCTTCGTGTCTTTTTTTTTCTCTTCGTCTCTTTTTTTTTCTCTTCGTGTCTTTTTTTTCTCTTCGTCTCTTTTTTTTCTCTTCGTGTCTTTTTTTCTCTTCGTGTCTTTTTTTTTTTTCTTCGTGTCTTTTTTTTCTCTTCGTGTCTTTTTTTCTCTTCGTGTCTTTTTTTTTCTCTTCGTGTCTTTTTTTTTTCTTCGTGTCTTTTTTTTCTCTTCGTGTCTTTTTTTTTCTTCGTGTCTTTTTTTTTTTTTTCTTGTCTTTTTTTTCTTCGTGTCTTTTTTTTTTCTTCGTGTCTTTTTTTTTTCGTCTTTTTTTTTCTTCGTGTCTTTTTTTTTTCTTTCGTGTCTTTTTTTTCTTCGTGTCTTTTTTTTTCTCTTCGTGTCTTTTTTTTTCTCTTCGTGTCTTTTTTTTTTCTTCGTGTCTTTTTTTTATCTTCGTGTCTTTTTTTTATCTTCGTGTCTTTTTTTTTTATCTTCGTGTCTTTTTTTTCTTTCGTGTCTTTTTTTTTCTTCGTGTCTTTTTTTTCTCTTCGTGTCTTTTTTTTATCTTCGTGTCTTTTTTTTATCTTCGTGTCTTTTTTTTTTCTCTTCGTCACTTTTTTTCTCTTCGTGTCTTTTTTTTTTCTCTTCGTGTCTTTTTTTTCTCTTCGTCTCTTTTTTTTCTCTTCGTCTCTTTTTTTTTTTTTCAATTTATACCCGCGAAAGCATTTCAAAGAAACATTTTTGTTTTACCTCTGCAACATCTTATATCAGAGGTAGACAAACTAAACTACAAACCACGTATCGCATTCCATCTTACGGCGGGTTTTTGTGGGGGTTTGTTTTTTATTTGTTTGTTTGTCTCTTTCTTTTTTCTTCAATGCGAGCCGCAAAAGCATGTCAAAGAAACATTCTTTTTTTCCATTTTTTGTGCATAATTTGGTTTTCATTTCATCAGTTTTTCCATTTTAGTTAATCTCCAATGGAAAAAAAATGACCAATCTACGACAATGTATTAATTTCATTGAATCTTCTTGAAAAATTAAGAAATTCTTAAAAACAATTAGGTCACGAGATCATTCAACCGGAACAAACTGTGTCAGCGTATTCAGTTTACCGTAACCCATACGAGCCATAATTTTCATTGCTTCTATCATCTAGTAATTGGTTTTCTATTAATTGTCAAGGATAAAAAAGAGTGTTTTTTCTCTGTTCGTTATTGAAGTATTTTTTTATACCTGCTGTCCATCACGAATCTGCTAAGCAGCACATGTGACCCTCCGAAAAAAAAAATGCTTGCCCACTTCTGATTATTAACAGTTGTATATCCTTTTTGACAACGTATTGCTCCGCGGCATGGTAGAACAGATATTGACACGAGGTTGGTAAATAAAACATGCTTATGTACTAACCAAATCTCAATGCACCTATCACCAAAAATATCCAAACAAAAAAAGTGCTTGTTACTGTCATGTCAGATCAACTGACAGAGACGATTGAGTGAGTCAACGCTACATCTAACCCCATAAAAAAAAATAACCCCTATCCATTTAACAATTTATAACACAAAATTTATTTGAACATTAAATCGGTAATGATAAAAAAAAGTAAAGATCAAAGTTGGTTGATTCTATATTAGAATAAACCATATATTTTTCTTAAAAAAAAACATATATATATATATATATAAGGCGTATTTAGGCAGCATGTATTCTTTCAAAGATGTTTCGTTGAATAATGTCGACAAGTTTTTCCATTTTTTTTATTAATATTAAATTTATCGATTATATAATAATTCGGAAATTTGAAAAACAAATTTCCGAATTAGTCGTATTATATAATCGATAAATTTACCAGAGTTAATTTTAATTTCCCCTTCCCCGAGTATTTTCGAATGTTGCTACATTTGATTTTCAACAATTGCGTTTTGTGTGGTTAATTCCGACGTTCCTTGTTTACTGGAATCAATTTCAAATCACTCAAGGTGACATCATTTATGAGGGCCAATCTGAATTTTTACGCGTATTAAAATTTATTATTTTTTTTTTTTATTTATACACGCTAAAGTTGATTCTATCAAACGAGGGGGGGGGGTCAAAATTAATAAAAACAAACAAAAGAACAGTTATATAAACGATAAACATACACAAAAAGAATTCTTTTTATTAATTTTTTTCTCAAATTTCCGAATTAGTTGTTTAATATAATCGGTAAATTTACTAATGTTAGTTCATACACACACACACACACACACACACACACATCTATATATATATATATATATATATATATATATTAAGAAATGGACAAGGTCCGACAATTTATTTATTAAAGACATTTTTATGTTTAACGTTGTTATTTTATAGATACAAGTATTTAAGCAAATGCTCTGTTTATGATAAACAGTATTAAATAACATTTACCGGCCTGAATGTCCGAGAAAATTTTCATCCTGTCAAAGAACGAATATTTTCTATGAAAATTTCTCGGACATTCAGGCCGGTAAATGTTATTTAATACTGTTTATCATAAACAGAGCATTTGCTTAAATACTTGTATCTATAAAATAACAACGTTAAACATAAAATGTCTTTAATAAATATATATATATATATATATATATATATATATATATATATATATATATATATATATTGCCTGAGTAATTCTGAATGTTGCTACATTCGTTTTCAAGGATTGTCATACATCAATGTTTACGTAACTTGTTTTGGTTAATTCTGGCGTTTTCCCGTTTGAAATTGGTTCCAGCAAACGAAAATAACGCCGAAATTAACCAAAATATTCTGGATGGGGGATAAAAAAAAAAAAAAAAAAAAATAGCTTTTGTAAATTTACCGATTAAAACGAATAATTCAGAAATCTGAAAAAGTTAATCAAAAATTGGAAAGACAGAACTTGATATCATTCAGCAAAAGATATTTGAAATATAATATATATATATTACGGTTATGATTTTTGATCTTTTGTAAAATAATTGATTTCCTGTATCATAATTCGATGAACCTTTGTTCAAAAATAATGAAGAAGGTTTTAATTATTTACATTATTCAGACTGTTATCCTCATCTTCATTGCCATATTCACAACGTTTCGGCCGTTATATGCTCCGACCTTCTTCAGGTGATTGAAATTTCCAGATATAGACAGATATTGAAGTTTTTAATTCAGTTTTCTCTTTTTTTTAAATGTCACCTCCAGCACGAAATTTCTTAAATCTTATATAAATATAATAGTTATATGACTTTCTAGAACTTTTTGAAACCTTCCAGAACTTCCTAGAGCCTTCTAGAACTTGTTTTTGTTTATAAGTTTCTAATGGATAACGGCTTGGATTAAAGAATCGGAGAGCCGAGTTCGAATTCCAGTCGAATCCATTACATTCACTTACAAACTAATACCCTTGGAAAAGGTATGAATCCTCTTCTTCTAAGCTATGGGTAAATAGCAGGACAGACCGGGTTCTATAGCCTTGAATGACAGCTGGTCTTCCGCAGAAAGAAATGGCAACCTATTGCAGGGAAAAAATCTGCCTCGTCAGTCATGTATCGAAAGATACATGATCGCCTAAGCGTGTATCATGCATGGCACAAAACTGACTGATGTTATGCTATATCTATAAGCTGTTCAATGCCTTAAAAATGTATAAGTTCTATCCGGTTACACCATCAGCAGATTTAAAAATAAAGCTTCTTTTGCAATCTTTGTTTATTTGAGAGATTGTATGTTATGCTGTAGCTATAAACTTTTAAATGCGTTAAAAAATACATAAGTACGAGCCAATTACATCATTAGCAAATCGTATTTCTGTTATGAGGCAAGTTGAGATTCCCAACCTCCCAGTTTATTTTGCCCCCCCCCACTTCTTTCATCTTGACTGGTTTATTCTTTGATTTCCCCACGCTTTATTTTATCCTTCCTATTCCGTTAGAGAGTTAGCTTCTTGATTCTGTCTGATGACAGAATATAGCGGTAACTCTTATTTGTGTGGGGTGGACGGGTTCTACTAACATTTGTGATTTTCTGTTTTGCATTTGTTATATTTTGTTTGTAATTGAGATTCATACCCTTCCTCAACATTTCATATCATCTTCAGCTATTTGAATTTGTAGGTCTGATGAATTGGATCGTGATTACGATTCCAATGTAATAAATTATGACCATGGAATATTAGTGTTGGACCATGGATATATATATATATAATTTTTTTGAATTTGTAGGTCTGATGAATTGGATCGTTATTACGATTCCAATGTAATAAATATACCATGGAATATTATATATATTTTATATATATATATATATATATATATATATATATATATCTATTTTTTTTGAATTTGTAGGTCTGATGAATTGGATGGTGATTACGATTCTAATGTAATAATTCATAACCATGGAATATTAGTGTTTGACCCTTTTTTATTATATTCTTACTCTGTCCTGGACATTGAGTTCTACCTGGATTCTATCATTTTGAAATATATATATATATATATATATATATATATATATATATATATATATATATCATTAAATAATATAGACAAGTTTTCATGCAACAAAAACAGACTATCATTACTGTTTCGTCCGAAAGCTTAGATTGGATTTAAACATGTATCAATATGGTGATTTCCTTTCGTCTTTCAATAATGTTATTAAGCTTATCAGACAATATGAAAGGAACTTACTTAAAATAAATAGACAAAAACTGTCTATATTATTTAATGAAACACACACACACACATATATATATTTATATTTATATATATATATTACGAACATTTGTACATAGGAAATTTATACATAAGAAATTTTTAAATCATGGGACTTATTTTATAGCTTCGTTTGTGCATGAGATATTGTGGTATATGGAAGAGTAAAAGGTGAAGAATGTCTTCTTTTGGTATATGTTTTATTTGTATTTAATGAATGGGTCATGAATCGAATTAGCTAGGTAGTGACTTTCCAAGCGTAGCTCAGATGTGGCACAAGGCCGAAAGTATGGGGCACCAAGTGAAGATCGAACTCACTGCTCAGTCGTAATTGTTCTAGCGAGACAAGCTTGCTAACCATTACACCCCCTCGAGGTGCCCAAATTTTTATTATTTAGTTATAGGATAGTTAATGATGAACAGCCTTACCCCACTCCCTACTTTTTGGGCCATGTGCCGTAATTATTGTATTTTACAATAAGAAATATAGAAAATTGAAAAGTAAAGCATTGGAAATATTTTGATTTTTTTTACCCTTATTGCGTATATGGTAAAACTGAATTTTCCAGAAGTAAAACAAATTAATGCCTTTTTCATTATTTTGAACAAAAGTTCATCGATTTATGACACAGAAACATAAGATTACAAAAAGATCATAACGGTAAGATATATATATATATATATATATATATATATATATATATATATATTACACACCATCATCTTTATCATCATCATCATCATCGTCATCATCATTATCACGACCCTTGCTTGGATTTGCTCAAGCAAAACATGTTTTCCTTTGCTTGCAAATGTTTAATCAATGCTAGGGTCATATCCGTAAGGCCCTTTGGGAACGAGGTAATTCAAGAAATGTTTGTATTCCCAGCCTTTGTGTATGATTCGCCCGTTGCTCGTAATATGAGACTGAGACTGACAAATCACCCTGACCACCATACTCCATGCCATGTCTTCTTTTGATTGTCGTTTAGTCTGATTCCGATCCTCCGACCGGCCCGCTCGGCTTAGCTGAACCGGCCAGAGTTAATACTCCCGTCGGTGTAGCTCTTTGTGTCGCCGGGGTAGGCAAGTTTGCACAAAGGTCTCAGTAACTCTATATACTGAGTGGCTTTTAAGTTTATATATGGCAAAAATAAGTACATGAAAGTCTTGTACGCCTTGCGCATACATAGACAGTCCGGATATAGGAATCAACATTGCATGGTGTATATTAGTTTCTTGCCTCAATGCGATATACACACACACACACACACACACACACACACACACACACATATATATATATATATATATATATATATATATATAAAAAAAAAGAGAGAATCCGCAAACGTTTTTGGTTGTAATGTGAATTTTTTTTTTAAATATATTATGATTTATTTTCCATAATTTTGCTATATTTAAAAAAAAAAAATAAAAGAAAAAGCCAAATAAAAATAAATAAAATAAAATAAAGCATAATATATTTTAAAACAAAATCACATTACAACCAAAAACGTTTGCGGTTTCTATCTATCTATCTATATTTTATTTATTCTATCTATCTATCTATATTTTATTTATTCTATCTATCTATCTATATTTTATTTATTCTATCTATCTATCTATATTTTATTTATTCTATCTATCTATATTTTATTTAATTATCTATTTATCTTTATCTCTCTCTCTCTCTCTCTCTCTCTCAATATATATATATATATATATATATATATATATATATATATATATATATATATATATAAAGAAGAGAGAAACCGTAAACGTTTTTGGTTGTAATGTGAATTTAAAAAATATATTATGCTTTATTTTCTATAATTTTTGCTGTATTTTTTTTTTAAATCCACATTACAGCAAAAAACATTTGCGGTTTTTATCTTCTTTTTATTATACACGCTTTTCTCTCGTTGGAACTACTATAAACCTTTCCTTTATATATATATATATATATATATATATATATATATATATATATATATATATATATATATATATATATATATAGTATGCTATTATTATGTAAACTCTGGCAATGTATGTATTTAGAATTTAGGCAACAGTCTTGCATTTTATTGACGACGACAAAAAGGTTTTCTTTACAACTGAAAAAACTGGAATACTGACATTACAATAAACAGGGATACTGACAACCTAACAGACTGCAAACACAAAAGATATGAATGTCCACAAGGCTAGAATTTCGAATATTGACAACAGAAAAGATAGGAATACAGACAATCCAATGGGTTCGAATTTTGACATTACAAATGTTGCGAATACAAACAACACAATTGGTTGAAATATTGATAAATCAATATATGGGAATACAGACAACTCAAGGCGTTACAATATTTTTATGACTGACTACACAATATTGACATGACAATTTAACCATAGAAAGAAAATTTCTAAATGATTTTTTAAAAAGATAATCATAGAATTATCGAAATGAAGAAAGCGTGTAACATTGCTAAACAGGAAGCTCTTCTATATTTGAAGTAATAAATAATAATGAACTTATAGATCTCTATTTTCCAGCTAAAATAATAATAATACCTACGTAAAATTAAATAACCTAACGTAAGTGAAGGCAGAATTTTGACAATAAAGGATTCCATAGATATCTAGGGTAATAATTATTGTCATCAAAATTATAGAAAGTTCACAATATCAAAGACCGACTTAAAGTGTCGCTTGTTAGATTTCGGACAAGAATAATATATTGTTAGCTGGAAATATTTTTATAAATGCTTATTAAATACCCTAAATTAAACGTAATTAAATTAAAATAATTTAGTTAGGGTAGAAAATAAGCGTTTATAAAACATATATACTGCTAATAATATACTGCTCGTCTAGACCTTGAGAGAAAAATCGCGAGTCTGTCGTTAATAAGTAAAGTGAAGTTTTTATAATTTCGATAAAAATTAATAATAGGTACCTACAGATTTTTTTTTACGGAAAAAAAACGGCATAGCATGATAAAGAAAAAAGCCCAAAACTTGTTGAAAATAAAGTTTTGTCATCAAAATATTCATGTTATTGTTAAGATGAAATACCAAAGTATTTTTTTATTATTTTAAAAAATTTTTTAATCCTTTCTAACACGTTCCAAATTTTATTACTTTTTTATGCTATAAATAAGTAATATTTATTTCAAATCAGGTTAATTTAACTTTAAATTTGCCAATTTTACTTAAATTACTTGTCACAAATATATATTTTATTTTTAGAAGATTTTTAAAACCGATAATTTTGTTTACAAATTTCTTAAAATTAAAAAAATGGCCGCTTTTAAGAAAATTTTCTGAAATCGGCCAAAAAGTTGAGATTTCGATCTATATAATTTTTATTTGAAATACACCAGAATATTTTACTTACTGGAAATAGTAAATTTTAGCTAAAATGAAATTTTCGAGAATGCGTTTTCATTTTTAAAAATTCATTTTAAACCTTAGGTATCGAAAATTCAGTGGACGTACCTAAAATATTTTTTAGTTATTAAAAAAAAACTAAAAAAAACACGCTTTGTTTCTTCATAAGGTTTGTACGGGAGAAAATACTTATAAGCAGTCGTAAAATATATTTTGAACGTCGAAGTTGGTTTATAACATGCTATACCCTTCACAGTGTTTAAATGAAAAATATCAAAAATTTTCATTCTTTTTTTATTCATTTTTCCATTCATTTTCATTTTTCATTCATCTTCTCTACGCCAGTCTCAAATTCTACAATCACAAGCCAGTTCCGTAAATACAGCATGATGCTAACATACCTCAGTTAGTGTCATCTTAAATACAATTACTAAGTTACTCTATTCAAATGATTATATAAATAAAGGCAGTACTAAAGAAACATAAGTTTTAAATGCTACAAATCTGCAACAAACATGGAACCTTCGTGACTACAAAAGGAGTGTCAAAAGGACGGTTTTTCCCATGACACCGCTTTTTTAAACACCTTCACTCTTTTAGGCAATGTCTATTGTTCTAAAAAATGATGATTAGAATTGTAATAAAATCTAAACATATTAAAGTGAATTTATACATTTTCTTCATGGGAATTGACAACAAAAATAATAAACACTATTTATTTATTAGAATGTTTATTTACACAATTTATTTATTATTTTATTTCTTGGAATGGTTGGCAAAACATCGGCTAATTGCCAATTGATTCACACTCTATAACATGGTAAATAATAAGGATTTCTTTATAGTTGCTTCACATATTTTAATAATTTACTAAATGTCTTTAAATTCATGAATAAATAATTGTGTTCACATTTATTTCTTTATAAATTGGTAAATGATAAATATTGCCTTGCATTAGTTGTATCAATTTCTAGAATGTTGTAAATATAAAATTATTCTTGTAAATAAACAATTTACTTAATAATATTAATTAACAATCTAATTAGTATTTTTGTTGTAAATGCTCAAGAACACAAAAAAGTATAAATTCACTTTCATCATATGTTTAAGTTTTATTCCAATTCTAATCATCGTTTTTTAAAACAATTAACATTGCCGAGGGGTGAAGGTAGTTAAAATAATAGCGGTGTCAAGGGAAAAGCTGTACTTTTGACACTACGTCTTATTGCGGGCCAGTTTATCCATGTTTGCCAAATCAGCTTTATGGCTTACCGTTAAATGATACTTAAACACCGAAGCGACTAGGAGTGAACGAGAACGAGGAATCTTTAGATAAAGGAACCGGAAACCAAATCCTAAAGCGGAAACAAGGGATAAAACTTCTCTACTCCTTTTTCAAAAGACAGGGGAGGTGTATGAACCGGGCGATAGACGAACCTATTTACTCCTATTGAAGTAAAAAACATAAATAAATAGTAAATAAAATTTCAGAGATTAGGCGGAGACGTCAGTAGTATAGAGTCCAAGTAGACTTTAGAAGTATCCGTAAATCCAATTCTAAACAGGTAACTGGGGATAAGCTTCTATTCCTGTTCAAAAGAGCTGGGAGGAGTGTGAACTGGGCGATAGGCGAACCTATCTACTCCTGAAAGTGTGGTAGGAGGAAATGTACTATATCACTTACGTTCGCCAAATTCATCATAAATGCGACAAGTATATTTGTTTGAAATATTGACTATAGAAAATAAAATGTCGAATAAAATTATCGAGATATATATATATATATATATATATATATAATGCATCGGCTTTAAAAAAATTATATTGTAATATATATATATATATATATATATATATATATATATAAAAATTCAGGGGTGAACTGGCTGACTGGCGTAAGGAAAAAATAACCTTTTTTCATATAACTGGTAATAATCATTGCATGCATTCCATATATAACGAAATCATAAATATTTTTATAGTTTGCAATTAATTTGTTCATTTTTACTATGTGGAGTTTGGAAAGAATGAAAAGTCGTTTTTTTTTTTTGGTATTTCTTTAACCTTTTAGCCATGAAATTTTGAGAGATCAGATTCGGCCATTTTTATTTGTTGTTGCTGAAACCAGTTTCGGCCATTTTTTAAAATATTTTTTAATTAATAGGCTTTAATATTGATTTTTTTTTCTTAAAAAAAAAGAATGAAAAGAACCCCAATAAAACCTTCTTTCCATATTTTTTTTCTAAAATTATGTAAATTAGTTTAGCTTAATTCATTTTATTAAAGCAATAAATTATGCAGCTACGATTAACAACCTTAGAACCATTACTTCGCTAGATATGTTTTTTTTAAATCATTTCACGCGTAACCTAAGCAACACAGCTACTAAGGGAGTGTAAAAGATGATAAGAAAAACATAAGAAGCGAAGACACTAAATGAACAGAAATTACAAAGCGAAAATAACAACTAACACTGAATTTTTAATCTGTACAAAAAACAATCTTAGTTGGTAATGATATAAGTGACAGATGCCTATAAAAAGGCAGATTATTTACGGCTAATTTGTTTAACGTGCGGATTATTGTTTGCTTCCCATGGATATAATTGTAAATAAAAACGATGCACTAAAATAAGTAGCCAAGTACTCGATTTCACTTCTCTGAATATCGCTGCTTTTTAGGTTATAAATTATAGATAGGTTCCACCTCTAAGTAAA